AAGAGAGAGAGAGAGAAACATCAATGTGCGGTTGCTGGGGGCCATGGCCTGCAACCCAGGCATGTGCCCTGACTGGGAATCGAACCTGCGACACTTTGGTTCGCAGCCCGCGCTCAATCCACTGAGCTACGTCATCCAGGGCTTGATTCACTTTTTCCCAACTTTATTGGGGTATAATTGAAGTACACCATATGGAGCATATTTAGTGTATCATTAGATTAATTTTGACATATGTACACACCCATGAAACTTCACCACAATTAAGATAGTGAGTACACTGACACCCCAAAATCTCTCATCCATCCCTGAGCCCTTTGGGAATCTCCCCTCCCTCCTCTTGTGCACCACTGACTTCCTTCTGTCACTATAAATTAGTTCCCATTTTCTATAATGTGTATAAATGGAATTATACGGTATGTAGTCCTTTTTTGGGTGGGGGAGTGCTGGCTACTTTGACTCAGCATGACGTTGAGATCCACCCATGTCTCAGGTATCAATAACTTGTCTCTTTTTATTGCCAAATAGTATCCTTTTGTATGAATGTACCACAATTTGTTTATCCATTCATCTCTTGATGGGCATTTTACGTTGTCTCTAGTTTCTGGTGATTGCGAATGAAGCTGTTCTGAACATTTGCGCGTCTAAGTCTCTGGGGAACAGATGTTTTGGTTTCTCTTGGGGAAATGCCCAAGCGCGGAGTGGCTGGGTCATGTCATACGGTGGGTACATGTTTGACCTTTCCAGAGACTACCAAACCCTATTCTAAAGTGGTTTTACCACATTTTGCATCCACTCCCCCCTGCAACAGAATGAGAATTCCTGTTGCTCCACATTCTTGCCAACACTTGTGGTCAGTCTTTCTAATTTTAGACATTCTAAAGGATGTATAGTGGTATCATTGTGATTCTAAATTCTTTCTTTCTTTCTTTCTTTCTTTCTTTCTTTCTTTCTTTCTTTCTTTCTTTCTTTCTTTCTTTTTAGAGAGGGTAAGGGAGTGAGAAAGAGGGAGAGAGAAACATCAATGTGTGGTTGCCTCTCATGTGGCCCCCACTGGGAACCTGGCCTGCAACCCAGGCATGTGCCCTGAGCGGAAATTGAACCCGAGACCCTTTAGTTCACAGCCCGCACTCAATCCACTGGGCTACACCAGCCAGGGTTAACTTGTATTTTTCTAGCAACTAATCATATTGCGTATCTTTTTATGTGTAATTATTAGCTATTCACGATTGTTCTTTTGTGAAGTGCTTGGGAGCAGGGGGTGGAAGGTGGTTCTAGAGCTGCTAATGCTGAGGTCTCTGTGAGACCTCCAGGCAGAGCTGTTGAGTAGACAGTTGGAGACTGGAGCCTAGACTTCAGAGGAGAGGTCCAGGCTGGAGATGGAAATTGGGGAGTTGTCAGCGTATAGGTATTTGGAATGTCCGAGATCACTCAAGGGGAGAAGATGCCCAGGGCTCAGTTCTGAGGCACTTGACTAAGTTGAAGCTGGAAGATAAGGAAGACTCGGAGAGACTAGGGAGTAGCTAGTAAGGCAGAAGAGAAGAAAGTGTTGAAAGGCTTGCAGCATGGTCAGGGCTGGCCTCCAAAGATGGCCCATCAAGAACCACACCCTTGAGTAGCCCCTCCCACCTTCCTTCTGGGCTGGCCCTGCGTGAGACTAACGGACTGTAGCAACGGAGGTGGCATTCCTGGCTTCTGAGCTAGGGTCCTAAGAAGCCCTGCAAGCTTTCACCTTGACCGACCTTTGGAACACTGCCGTGGGATAAGCCAGCTGCCACTGAAGAAGTTTCTTTACTCTGAGACGGGCATGATGTGAGGAAGTCCAAGCTAGCTATGTGGAAAGACTATATGGAGGGAAACAGATGGCCAGCTAGTCCCCGGTTGTTCCAGCCGTCTCAGTTGGGGCAGTGGACAGGTGAGTGAAAAAGCCACTCTGAAGCCCTGGCTGGTATAGCTCAGTGGATTGAGTGCGGGCTGGGAACCAAAGTGTCCGAGGTTCGATTCCCAGCCAGGGTACATGCCTGGGTTGCAGGACATAATCCCCAGCAACCGCACATTGATGTTTCTCTCTCTCTCTGTCTATCTCCCTCCCTTCCCTCTCTAAAAATAAATAAATAAAATCTTTTAAAAAATCATGTTTAAAAAAAAAAAAGCCACTCTGGACTTCCAGCCCAATGAAGCCTTGAGATGACTTCAGCCTCAGCTGCTTTTTGCCTGCAACTGCATGACAGCCCCCCTGAGCAACAGGTTCCTGATGAGCCCAGTCAACCCAAGGGACTATGAGGGATAATAATAAATGGCTGTTTAAACCTCTAAGTTCTGGGCTGGTGTATTATGCAGCAATAGGTAACAGACAAACCTGAATGGTGAACGGAGGCTGACTAGCGCCCCCTTCCTACACCCAGAGCACAGCACCCTGCAGCCCAGACCCATGCAGAGAGGGGTGCCTAAACTCAGCTGGACAGCTCTGCATTCTGATGCCCTCCCTCCCTGCAGAGAGGAGAATAAGCTTCTCTTTGTGCCCACAGCTGTGGCATCTGCCAAGAGCCCCACAGCCCCCAGGGCCCTCACAAAAGGACAGCAAGGGAGATTTTTTCTGGGAACTGGGTCACCAGCTACTTGGAGGCTTCAGACCTGGAATAACAGAGAGAAACCAGATAAAGGAGGCTGGAAACTGCGGGAGGCTGCCGGGCCTTGTCACGGGGACTTTTCAGGGACATGTCATGGTCAGGAGCGGCTGTCTGTACCCACGCGATCCTTACGTCAATACAGCCCTTCTCTCTCTCTGTCTTTCTTCTTTTCTCTTTCTTGGTAATTAAAACATCGGTACATCAAATATATACAGGGACAGGGTCTGGCACGAATAATACCCCCCTTTTATTACAAAATCATAAGCATGTAATTCTGTAACATGACAATTATCACCCTCGAGCACACCATATGACGTTTTAGGTGAGATGTTCAAATTAAAACTATAAATGATCACAGCCATATTATTGTTACCCTACCCACCACATTCAAGCGGGTGTTACTTCTGCTGGACCCTGGCTAGCCCTCCTGTCTTTCTACCCTTCCTTCTCCTTTTACTTATGAAAAAATGTTCCTGGCTTTGCGTTTATAGTAGTGATGTCTTTTATTTTTCTTCTTTTAAAAAATAGACTTCATTTTCTTAGAGCAGTTTTAGATTCGCTGTAAAATTGAGGAGAAAGTACAGCGTTCCCATAGACCCCATCCCCCATCCCCCCACAGGGGCGGAACATTTGTTGTAATCAATGAGCCAGCATGGACACACGCTCACTCGAAGTCCACAGTTTTCGCTAAGGTTCACTCTAGCGCTGTGCGTTCTGTGGGTTCGGACAATGTTTAATGACGTACGTGCATCATCGTCATACCACGTGGACTGGCTTCACTGCCCTAAAAATCTTCTGTGCTCCAGCGACTCATCCCTTCTTCCCCCTTAGTCTCTGGAAACCACTGATTTTTTTACTGTCTCCACGATCCTGCTTTTTCCGGAACGTCTTATAGTTGGGATCGTGCAGTGCGTAGCCTTTTCAGGGTGGACTCTTTCACTTCGTAATATTCCCTTAAGATTCTTCCACGTGTTTTCGTGGCTCGAGAGCTCATTGCTCTTTGGTGCTGAGTGGCAGTCCGTTGTCTGGAGGCACTGAGGTTTACGCGTGCACTTAGGTGCCTCTCCGTTGCCTTCAAGCTTTGGCAACCACGGATGAAGAAGCCGCGACAAACACCGTGTGCGGGTTTTTGTGTGGACGTACGTGTTCCGCTCAGGTGGGTGGACACCAAGAGGCACGGTTGCTGGATGGAACTGCAGGAGGTACTGAGTTTTGTAGGAAAACCGCCAACCTGTCCCCCAAAGCCGCTGCACCGTTTTGCGCTCCCACCAGCAACGAGGGAGAAGGGGCGTGTCGTTACCTGCGTTTCCCCGATGACGTCTGGCGTGGAGCGTCTCTTCTTTTGCTTATGCACCACGTGCGGATCTTCTTCGGTGAGGTGTCTGGTTGGGCCTTTGGCCCATTTTTATGCGGGAGTGTTTGTTTTCTTGTCTCAGAGTTCTTTGTACGGTTTGCATAGCAGCCCATTATCCCATGCGTCTTTTGCAAATACTTTCTCCCAGACAATGGCTTGTCTCCTCATTCTCTTGCGTGGGACAGGTTTGTAAGAAAGAAATCGTTTTCAGATTTTAGAAGTGAGTCCGTTTGGCGGGAAATATTTAGGAAATGACAGTCGGGGTGGTGGGAACGCAGAGAAAAGGAGAAGAAGGCACGAGGGACTCGGGCTTGGCTCACACTTGAGCCTGGTCCACAGTTTGGCTTCCGGCTCCTTATCCAGCACTTAGTATGACTATTACCACGATTTTCATAACACGGGCACCTATCGTTGGTATTATTCTTGCTATTATAATGACGGGTGTAGTGGCCTGGGAGCGGCTCAGCTGTTCGGAGCACAGTCTCTGCATCTGCGGGCTGCCTGTTCGATTCTGGTCAATTCTCGATTGTGGGTTTGATCCGCGGTTGGGCGCCTGCAGGAGGCGGCCGAGCTCTCTACACCCACGTTTCTCTCCCTCTCTCTCTCCCTCTCTCTCCCCGTCCCCGCACCTTCCCCTCTCTCTGAAATTAATAAAAACATATCCCCCGGTGAGGGTTTTAAATATATATATATATATTTATGGTCTAGTGACTATTGCTAGTATTGTTATAACAATACATTATTGTTTTATCTTATTATATATTGCTTTGATGCACTTCTGTGTCGCCTCCATGTCCCTGGAATCTAGGGAAACCCTGCAAAGTTGGTGCGATTATCACCACCATTATCTTGATGTTTTACCCCTACTAGCTGTGCAAAGTTTAGACGCGAGGCATGGAAGTGGATACCAGCTCCGTGACAGGTAGGGGAGGGGTCGGGCGGGAGCCTCCGCCCCAATACGGGGCGGGCCGCTCGGGTCGGTTCCTTGCGGGCTGCGGGTTCCCAGCCTAAGCCCCGCGATGGCCCCGCACGGAGCGCCGTGGGTCCTGCCGCTGGTGCTCTGCCTGGCCGCAGTGGCCGCGGTATCCTGGGCGCGGGGGCCGCCGGGCACACTCTGGCCTGGGCGGGGCTGCTCCGCGCTGGGCCGCTGCTGCCCCGGCCGTGACCCGACCTGCGTTGCCCCGGGGCCTCCACGCTGTTTCTGCGACCAGGCGTGCAGCTCCGTGCGAGACTGCTGCGCCGACTACGCGCGGGCCTGCCCAGGTGCGCTCCCGGGAGCACGACGTGCGGGTGGAGCGCTTGGAGATTTGGGGAGCGGGGGTGTGGGAATGCCGAGGAGGACCGAAGGATGCGGTTCATGGAGGGGGTTCTAGGCCCGGAGGGGCGCCTCCAGAAAGATGCGCGCGGCATGGATCAGGGCGCGGGAGTCTCCTGGGGCGAAACGGAGAGGGATGCCTGAAGAGTTGAAGGGTGCTCGGGAGGGGGCGCAAGCACTGCCCACGGGACTTGGAGGGTGGTGCAACCGTGCCGTGAGGGCGGGGCTCATGGAAGAGGCGCGCCAGCCAGGCACCCGGGTGAGACGGACACCTGGCGCCTGGGTGGGGGTGGGGGTTGGGGAGCGGGGAGCTTAGGGGACATGCAGGGTTGCGAGGGAGGAGGGGGCGCTTGGGTTGGGGCAGAGTGCCAGATTTAGCAAGTCAAAATACAGGATTCCCAGTTAAACTTGAATTTCAGATAACCAATACTTTTTTAGTACGAGTATGTCCTATGTATTGCGCGAGCCACACTCCTGTTAAAAGTTATTGATTATTTTTCTGAAATTCAAACCCAGCTGGACGTCCTGTGTTTTATCTGGCAACCCCAGCTGGGGGAAGGGCGTGAGGCGTGGAGGAGTGCTAGGGAGGACTGCGCGCACGCACCGCACTGAGGGCGGCGAGTTCGCAAGGCGAAGAGAGAGAAGGCGTGGAGGAGGCCGAGGGAACCGGTGAAGCCTGGAGAGGACTTAGAGTGGAGGGACTCAGGGAGGGGACGAAAACCCGGACTGGTTGTTACCAGGGGCAGAGAAACAGGGGGTGGGGTAGGGCGAGGAGCAGGTAAAACTTGGGCAGGCCTGTGGAGGCGGAGGGGCGGGATCCGTACGACGCAGGTCACGCCTCCCTGTGGTCCCCGTGCTGGCGGTGGCCGCAGGACCAGGGTCTAAGCATTTCCTCCAGAGACCGCGCCAGAGTGGTACCCACCGGACTCTGAAATCAGGGGCTGATTTGTTTCCTCGGCAGTGGCGAGGATTGCCTTCTTTAAACCCCAGTAGTAAGTTTTGCACGCCCACTGACGGCAAAAATCTACATTCTGTCCCATTGTAAAGTGGGTTGAGACCCAACTTTTCTTTGTCGGGGGGTGGGGGGCGGAGGACAGCAGTTGGGCCCTTATATCCTGAGACATCATCAGTGGTCCTTCAGGAATTTACATTTAAACTCAAAATCGAAGAGACCCAACATTTATCGATCACTTACCAACTGCGTGCCCGAGGGCGGGGCTGGGTGTGCCATCAAACCTGATGGCTTTCTCACAGCGCTCTGGGGACCCTGCATGTAATAAGGTCCCGTTCACAGGCGAGAAAAGTGGGGCTTGGAGAGGAGGGGGCTTTGGCCAGCCGAGGTGATCCCGCCGGCTTTGAACCTCGCTGGATCCTGTCTTCCAGCGCCCTGCTGCTTCCCACACGGGAGTGGCTAATGGTGGAAATTCAGGCAGCAGAGAGAGGGAAAAGTAATTTTGGGTGTGGTATCTCCCCAGCCGTAGCACAGGAGACTCCCCCCGAGCAAACTTGCAGAAGGACTGTCTCGGGGACACTTTTGTACTTGTCTGCTTTCTGTACCGAGGGTTCACTCGGCCACGGTGTCTCTCAGAGTGTGGGGCTGCACCCACAGGGCTCCCCTGCCTTAGCCCAGGGGTTGTGGGTGGGGGTGGTGGTTCAGGAAGGGGACCGGGCAGAGGGATCAGTGACACTTTCACACGATGTTATCAGCTCCCCAGCATTGTCTGTTGTAGAAAGACCTGGTCCCTTTTTGTTCTGCTCCTTTGGGAAGGTGTCAGAAAGGCAGCAGATCTAGGATCTGCCCCCTTGACTGGGCTGGGTGGAGCCAAGGCCTTACAAACTAGACCAGGGACAAGTTCACTTTTCTACCCCCCAGAGGAGCAGGGCAGGAGGGGACATGGTGACCAGTTGGGAGGCAAGAGATGGAGGGAAGTACGTTTTTTTCATGAGTGACTTAGGGGAGAATGTTGGCTGACTTCAGTAATTGTGGTGGGAAGAGATACCGAGGATGACTTCGAAACAAAAACAAAAACAAAACCCTAACATTTACTGAGTACTTACCAAGAGCCAGGGAGGTGCTGTTTTAAGTGCTTGATATAAAACTTGAAGCCTCATAACAGTTCCATGGAATAATGTTTTCATGTCACTTTCCAGATGAGGAACTGAGGCACAGAGAGGTAGTGACCTGCTCAGAGTTGCACAGCTATTACACAGCACGTCTGGGATTTGAACCCCAGCAGCCTAGCACCAGACCACAGTAGTATATGGGTGCTCATGAGGGGGAGGGACTTAAGCATTTGGGAGAGGAGCACGTGGGCCTACAGGTGGAAGAGGAGCGCTCGGCTCGGCCCACATTCGGTTCTATCACACTGCTGGCCGTCTGCTGTCTGCCAAGCTCAGCTAAGAAGCCCTGGGGACTAGAAAGATGGGGCTCTGATCTCCCTCAGGCTTATAGCTTATTTGGGGGAGACAGGGTGTCTGTGAAAGAATTTCAGGCAGTCCGAGCAAGATAGCAAGATAAGGCTTGGATATTTATCAGTGAGGAAGGGGTGGAGGCCAGCCAGGAGAGGGTGGAGCTGGAGTGACTGGGAAGGCTTAGAGGATGGACATCATTGCTTCAAATTATTTACTGTTTTCATGTATTTTATATTCTTTAATTCTTGCTTCAACCCTGTAAGGATCAATCTCCGCACTTATGCACTTATATATTCATTGCACTAGTCAGTACTCTGAGGGTTGTGACACAATTCATATTGACCTAAACTAGCAAGGGAATTGATTGGTTTGGGAAACTAAAAACCATCCGTGGATTGGCTTCAGGCATGGCTGGATCCAGGGGCTCTAAGGATATCATCAGGGCTCCATCTCCTTCCACCTTTCAGCTCTGCTGGTGTTAGCTTCATTCTCAGGCATGCTGCCACCAAATGGTGCCAAAGGTACTCCCCAGTAGCTCTGAACTGGTGTCCCTAGTGGAAGGAGAACATCCTTTCCCCATTTGTTCGGGCCGATATCCTAGGGTTGGTTCTTATAGGCCCAGTGTGGGTCACATGCTCATTTATGACCCAATCAATCACTTAGCCCAGGAGAAGGAATATGTCAATTGATCATGTTTGGGTCACAAGCACCATCCCAGGAATAGGGTGGAGCCACTCTCTCCAAATTAAGTGGACATGTGACTGGTTCCTCAAAAGAAGATTGAGACAGTGTTACCAGGAAACTCGGGTTAGGAGGCTGGGCAGGTAGAAATGACAGCGGCCCGCCTCTGAGCTGTGGGAGACCGTGCCTTTCGGGAAACTTGAAGTAAAAGGGTGCTGAGACATTGAACAGGAGGAGGAGGTTGTGAGGGACTGAGGGTGTGTTTCAGGAACAGCTTAGATTTTTAGCCACTAGGCTTGGGGGTCTTTATAATAATCCACTATCAAAAAAAGATCTTTTGTGAACCACTTCAATAGGATACGAGAAGCACTCTAGGATTTCAGGTGACAGGTCAGAACTGCACTCTGGAAGGATTCTTTTGGTAGGCAGCGAGGAGGATGGAGGGTCAGGGGACTGGGCCATGAGGTTCAGAGAAGAAGGTGGGGTTTGGACTGTCCAGAAAGGCATTTCCTGATGCGCTTGGGCCTGTCAGAATGCGGCAGGGGGGATCCAGGGGAACTGTGGGAAATTCCGTCTGGCTCCAGCAAGCTCAGCTGGCACGATGTTATCTGGGTCCCTAGGGCTGAACCAACAACCTTTAAACCTCCCATCTCCTCTCGCTGCTCTTTTTTTTCAGCTGCACTGATAAGCTAGAATTTCTCCTTTACACCGGAAAAAGGTGGGGTGGCCTTTGTTTTGAGAAACACTGCCATCTGGTGGTATCTTTTAGCAATGCCACCTTGTCATATTTTCTTTGTTGTTGGTAAGGCAAGATTTGTTCAGTATTCTCTTACTCGTGTACCAGGTACTGTGCTTGGTGCTGGGATCCGGCAGGGGACAAGGACCTGCCTCCGTGGTGCTGACACGAGTGGAGGAGGCCAACAAGATAGGAGTAATCACACGGATGTACTGAGGTTACAGCCCCAGACAGTTGCCTGGGAATGCCACATACGCATGCTGCTTGGTGACCTCACAGGTGCCAGCAACATGGAAAGAATACCTGCAGGGTGGCATCTGCCTAATTTTCTGCAAAAGCTTTCACCTGACTGACGGGCTGGGCAGGGCAGGGAATCATTGTTGGACTTTGGTGCGGCCCTTTGGCCCTTTAATGATTTAATAATCATTAAAGCCCTGTACCCTGTCACTGCCTTCTGACATCACCTCCTGCCACTTTCTCTCTTTCTTGTCCCACTGCAGTCACACTGGCCTCCTCACTGTCCCTCCAGCACCCAGCCTTGACCCTGCTGCAGGGCCTTTACACTGCCGTTTCCTCTGCCTGGAACCTGCCCCTCCCGCCCCCCCACGCAGGCACCTACACAGCACCCTCCCTCCCTCCTCTCCAGATGTTCTTTGTCTTGGAGGCCTCCCTTGACCCTTTCATCTGAAATGGGGTCCCACCACCCCACCCTGCTGTTCTCATCCTGCCTTGTCTGTTCTCAGAGCATGGAGTGGAGCGCTGGTTGGAATGACATCATAGGTTGTGTGGTCTATTGTCTGTTTCCCTTGCAGAATGTCAGTTCCTCCAGGGCAGAGACTTTTTTTTTTTTTGCTCCTCTCTGTTCCTGGCACTTAGTCCAGTGCTTGGCACACAGTAGGCCCTAAGTAGTTGTTAAATAAATGCAGAAAGACTGCTGCTGTACAGAGCTTTTACAGTCTTCTCGGTGCTTTGCGTTTGTCATGGCATCACTCCTGGGAGCCTGCAGTCTGCATCCAGGTTTGTCTGACTCCACCACCTTGGCTGACTCAGACAGTCCATCCCCTTACACTCTCCGCTTGCCTCCTCTGGGGGATGATCTGACAATAGAACATGTAATGTAGGAGTCGGGGTCCAGGCAAGTGACAGATGGTGCCCCCAGAGAGTTAAATGGAAGGGAATTTGATACGGCTCTGTTTACAAGGGGGCAGAGGACGAAGGGGTGTCATTGGAGCTTGGTGAGAGCGGGATGTGTGGCCGAGGGTCACCCCTCACCAGGAGGGGGGCTGAGTCAAGGGGTGGGGGCCACAAATACCTGGGTCACACTCTCCTCCCTGCCGGTGCCCCCCATGTGCTGAGGTCAACTGGCCTCAGGGGGTCAGGGAGCCTCTGTGAATCACAGACTTCCCGGCGAGCGCAGGGCAAAGAGGATCTGGGAGCACACAGTCTCCTGAGCTCCTGGTGACGATTACATGAAGCCCGGGATGTGACTTGCCTGGCTCGGCACGAGGGACATCACTGATGTCACTATTAGGTGAATGACGGAAGCAATCGTGATGGATAGGCTGTCATGTTTTCATGTTTGATTTCTTCCCGTCCTCCTTCCTTCCTCCCTCTGAGCATTTCAACTCCGCTAAGGGTGGAGGTCTGTGCCTGGGTCGTGACTTCCCAAGGTGCCGCAAGCAACACTGTGTTTGCAACACTGTGTTTGCAACACAATGACCTCACTCCCTCAATTCGAGGATGTATTTTTCTCACATTTTCATGCTGCCCTTGAGCTAGCAGGCGTCTCACAGCTGGGGAATGCTTTTCACAAGGACCGACCTGTCTTTCTCGTTCACCGCTGTGTCTCCTGGCTCACAGTAGTCACTCAGTAAATATTTGTGGAATGAGTGAGTCAGTTTTGACACTAGGAGCCACCTTGTGTACATGTGTACATGTGTGTACCTATGTGTGTGTGTGTGTGTGTGAACTGGGATACAAACCCCAACCAGCTGGCCCCAGTGCAGCTTCTTGCTCTGCATGGCACTACCCATCCACCGCCTCCAAACAGTCTTGTTGGACATCAGCCGTGAGCATGTACTTTGGGCGATTGGAAATGTTTGCTGGGTGTGAATGACAGCAAAGTGTCTCAAGTTTTGATTGGGGGGCGACAAATGCATGTTAGCAAATAGGCAAATTCATAAATACAGGATCGGTACATAACGAGGATCAGCTATGTATGCTGTGTATAATACCTGTGGGAATTTTTAAACGCTGCGAAGCACAGCTTTGCAGGTTTTAAAACTGTACAGACACAGGTCACACCGGAAACAGCTTCTGCGGGAGGCCTGTTTCCACTCCATGCAGGTGGCGCTGCGGCTGCGGGTCACGTCGCCGCCGCGGAGGAATAGCTGTAAGTGCTGAGCACTCGCCACGTGGCACAAGCATGTTCTTTGCAGGCCGGATCTGATCACAGCCTCGAGGGCACCCTATCGGGTGAATCCTTTCTTCTTCCTATTTGACAAGGGAAGCAAGTGAGGCACAGAGAGGTGAAGTCAGTTGTCCTCGGTGCTGCGAAATGTTTACCAAAGGCATGAGTGACGGAACGGCCTGAACGGTCACCGGAAGGAGGTCGCACGTGGAGTGCAAAGTTGGGTGCATGTACCCGCGGTGGTCATGCGGAAACTTCCGGGGAGGGCGTGGACTCCGGGTTCCGGGGTCCTGGCGCCCTGCGTGGTGTTTTTGAGGGCCTGGCTTGGGGGGCAGGTGGAGAAGATCCGCCCACTGACTATCCGAGTTGCCCCGGAGACACTGCCTTCTCTTGCAGCGGTCTCCTGCGTTGTGGCGGAGTGGAGTGGCTGGAGTCGCTGTGCCAAACCCTGTCAGCTCTCCTACCGTGTCCGCAGGAGGCACGTCCTGCGGGAGCCAAGGAATGGGGGTGCTCCCTGCCCCCACCTGGAAGAGCGGGCTGGCTGCGTGGAGTACCGGAGCCCCCAGGGACTGGAGTGCCAGCAGTCCTTGTGTGAGTTGGGGCGGCCACCAGGAGTGACTGTCAGGTCCTGTGGGGGTTCCAAGTTTGGGGTGAGACTTGGCCTCCCTTTAGCCCTGATTCCCTGCCCTCACGTTGTGAATGAGGTAAGAATCTCTGGCTTCCTCTGGGCATCTTGTCTTCTCCTCCATCTCCCAGTGTGAATCAGTCAGGACTTTGCATGCACGTGATGGAAACCCAGTTTAAACTGACCTGAGCAAAAATGTGTGTTTCATGTAACTAAAATTCCAGTGTCTGCATTCAGGCATGGCTGGATCCAGGGGCTCAAGTCATGTGGCCAGGACTCTCTCTCCATCTCTCATCTCTGTTTTCCTCTGAGTTGGCCTCATTCTCGGGCCAACTGGGAATGCTTTTGGATAGCTCCAGGGTTCCCTCCAACCGACCTAGCTGCTAGAAGAAAAAGTCTCTTTCTCATAATTTCAGCAAATGTCCTGGGATGATATTTTCTTAGCTTGACCTGGGTCATATATCCCCTATTGAACCCATCAATAACTCCAGATGGAACATGCTGATTGGCCAAGCCTGGGCACGTGCTCCCTTTGAAGCCGGGAGGGAGGTCAGTCCCATCTGCGTGAGAGTAGGAGACAGGTGGTCTCCAAAGGAAAATTGGGTTGAATGATGCAAGGCAGGCAAAACAACAGGTGTGGGCTGCTTTGCACACCTGGACAAAAGGTTTTCAGGCCCGTGCAGAAAAATAGGTGGTGCCAGTCTTGCAGCTGAAGAGACTGACCAAGAGGGTGCAGTGGTTTCCCTGAAGGGGCAGAAGAGCAGGCAGCAGGGCTGGGGGGTGCCCTTCCGGTCTCTCCCGGTGCTGCAGGCCGGCGGGGAGAGGCGGTCCTTCTCCAACTACCCCGTACACCTTCCCGTGGTGTCGCCCTCCTGCTTTCCATTCTGCAGTAGCTGCCCAGTGTCCTCAGGGTGAAACCCAACTGCCTCCTCCTGGTCTATAAGCTCCGTGCGTTCTGGCTTTTGCCTCTTGTGACCTCGTCTCCCTCTGCCCATGTTTCCTTTATTTTTTAAAAGAAGATTTTATTTATTGATTTTTAGGGAGAAGGGAAGGGAGGGAGAAAGAAAGGGAGAGAAACATCAATGTGTGAGAGATATATTGATTGGTTGCCTCTCACACACCCCCTACTGGGGCCCTGGCCCACAACCCAGGCATGTGCCCTGATGGGGAATCAAACTGGCGACCTTTTGGTTGTCAGACTGGCACTCAGTCCACTGAGCCACACCAGCCAGGGCTGCCCATGTTTTAAAGGATCATTCTGATCTTCATAGGGACAGGGGGTCAGAAGGTAGCAGGGAGATCGGGGAAGAGGTGACTGCAGTGGTGAGAGAGGTTGGTGGCTGGACCAGGGAGGTGGCAATGGGGTGCCGAGAGTGGCAGTGCCATTCCTTTGGCCTGAAATCCTTCCCCCTGTCCCCTGCCACCTGCATCAGACCTTGCCTGGCCCATCACTTCCAGCCCCGATGCCAGTTTCCCCGGAAGGCTCTCCTGACTGCCCCTACTGTGTGCTAAGTACCTGGCTGCATTCCTTGACTCTCTGAGGCCAGCGATACTATTCTCATTTTTTAGAAGGGGAAACCAATGCTCAGGGAGATGCAAAGCCTGCCCAAACCACGCGGCTCACTACAAACCATCTCATTTAATTCCAACTCTGTGAGACGGGGACTGGTATTATCCCCATTTTGCTTATGAGGAGACTAGGGCCCAGAGACACGCAGTGACTTGACCGAGGTCACTCAGCTATGAGAGGCAGCACTGGGACTAGAATCTGGGCTTCTCTGGGGCTGTCCTCACTGCTTTAGGCTGCACCAAAAGAAGCGCCATGGATGTTAAAAGAGAGGAGGGGAGGGAAACTGCAAAGACTGAGCCCAGTCCCTAGGGCAGCAGCAGGGGAAGGGTCCTTGATGCCCCAGTGTGGTCCTCTTCTAGGCCACGAGCTTTAGGGCAACAGGGAATCTTTGACTTAGCTCCATTGCCGAGTTTTGGACTTTTTTTCCCTAAGGAATCACCATCCTCTCTTTCCGTGTGTGTGTGTGTGTGTGTGTGTGTGTGTGTGTGTTAATCTGCTCTAGGAAGGGACTTGGAAGTTGGTCCTACACAATCACAATAAGTTTATTAATCCATTTATCTGCCCATCCCCCTGTACCTCCTTTCTTCCATCCTTACATCTTCCCACCCACGAGTTTATCCATCCATTTCTCTTACTAATTCACCTATCCACCCACCTGTTCTCTCTCCATCTAGCCTTCCCATTCGTCATCTCTCCGTCTCTCCTTTTTCCTGTCCTCCCCCATCTTCCCATTTATTTACCCATCATCCATCCATTCTTCCTTTCTTCCAATTTTTTAGCCATCCATCCATTCATCCATCCATCCAGTTATTAACTCTTTTATCTACTGTTTTGCTCACTCATCTATTTATAAAAGTCATTCATTTGAAAAGCTTTTGAAACCCACCGTGCTAGGCCCTGAGATCAATACGATCCTGCCTCCAGCATCACACAAAGGGTGCTAGTGGGGACCACTGATCTGTTCTGGGACCCCATGGTCTCCGTACGGCCGCCATGTAAATGACTGGGAGGCCAGGAGGACCTCACCCAGCTTCCTGTGGTGTCATAGCCCTTGGGCGGTGGGGGGCGGGGCAGGGGGTGGTGCTGAGCTACCTAACTCTCTGTTGTCCTTGGCCCACAGTCCCTGCTCTGATAACCACGGGCAGCTATGGGAAGGAGCGGAGAAAGCGAGGTGTCCCCAAGGAGCAGGAGGTAGGCGGGTAAGTTGAAGCAAATGAACCCAAGGTGAAACTAAAACTGGTGAACATTGTCCTTGAATTAAACTTCCATCATGTCTTTCTCTTACCTTGACATTTTTTGTCCTGATACATTTGTAAGCTCATTAACATAATTTTGAAGTCCTTAATAACTGGTCTCCATTCAAACTCATCCAACCATCCATTCATTCACTCACTCAACGTTTATGGAGTGCCCACTGTGTGAAAGGCACTGCGATAAGCCTTGGGGCGACAGCAAGGAGCAAAAAAGGACAGAAACAGTGGTCCTCACGGAGTGGACAGTCAGTCTAGTGGGATGAGAAGGACAGTCAGCAAACAGTAGGCCGATGGTGCTCAGGGCTATGGGGAGAAATAAAGCAGGGGAGGGGGAGGGGGTGCCAGCGATGTCCTCCCTGAGGTGATACTTGAACTAAGATCTGGAGGAGGCTTTCTGGGGTAGGAGCATGTCTGACAAAAGGGCCAGGAAGTGCAAAGGCCCTGGGGCAGGGCAGGCCCGGTGTGTTCAAGGATCAGCAAGACCAGTGTGGCTGGCGTGCAGGGAGAGTGAGCGCGTAGGGAAGAAGGTCAGAAACATGTGGGAGGGGGGTGGTCAGATTGCACAGGGCCTGTAGGCTGTGGTGAGAAGCCGGACGCTTTCTCACAAGAAATGGGAGTCGTGGGAGGGTTTGGAGCAGAGGAGTAATGTGACCTCACTGGAGTTTTCACAGTATGCCTTTGAGTGGCATTCGGAGACAGACAAGGGGAGAATCAGGAGATCGAAGGGGAGGCTGCTGCAGTGGTCCAGGCGAGAGATGAGGGTGGTCTGGACCGGGGTGGTCACCCTGCACCCGGCGAAGGGTGGATTGAGAGGACTGGAGGCAGACCGGTGTGTGGGGGAGGGCGGTGTGAGGTCAGGCCCCCAGGTGTTCGGTAAATGCCCGCGGAAAGAACAAGGTCTGAGCAACAGCAGTGGCCATGGGCATGGGGACGGAGCTCTATTAGGGTTCCTGTCATTGCGGGTGACAGAAACTTAGCTCCAACTGGCTCAGGTGAAACGGACTATTACTGGTTTATACGAGGATAACTAGAAAGGAAGTTTTGAAATAGTGTCACTTCAAGCATGGCTGGAATCGAGTCAAATTTGTCAGGACTCACTCATATTTATATTCATTCTTTCTCTTTCTACCCCCCCCACCCCAACATATATTGGCTTCATTCTCAAGCAGCCATTCTCCCTGCAGCAGCCAACATGGGAACCAGCAGCATCACATCCTCCCAGCTTGGCAATGCCTGGGGAAGGAGCCCTTCCTCCCAGTGTCAGTGTGTTATTTCTGAGGAATTTGATTGGTCCTGCTTGGATCCCAGCCCCATCCTTGAACCAATCACTGTGTCCAAGAGGACAGGAACTCTGATTGGTCTGCTTTAATCATGTGCCCAGCCTAGTGGCAGGGTGGGCATCCTGGACCAGCCACCCTGATTTATGGCCCCTCCAAGACCAAATAGGGTGAGGGCAAGAGTTCCCGATAAATAAACTACAAAAAGGGAAGAGAAAGTATGTTGAGAAGCTGAAAGTTCCATTTATCTCAGGTTTCTGGTAAGAGGCAGATTCCTGAGGAGTTCTGGGGGCAGCTCAGATAAAGGGGCTGGGGACAGGTTTGGGGCTGACTTAGGAGAAAACTGTCTAGATCCTTGGGCCTCCCAGAGGCTGCAGCCACCAGGGGGCGCACGCCCCATGCAGACACCCCCCCAGTCCTTGTTAAGCTGCATCTCCTCCAGCAGGTGGAACCATTTACCGCCATTTGCAGAAAAGTTGGTTAGAGGTAAAATTTTGGCAAATCGGCCCTTACTTCAAGTACCCCATAATGGGAACTTTCCCATTTAAGTCATTCTCATGGGGAATCTCTTCTATCAAAATAAGATCTCGTGTAAAATGCAGTGGAGTGCTTAGGAATGTCAGTTTAGGCTTTGGGGGTTTATAGCACTTATTAGCTGTGTGACCACAGGCAAATTAACTCTCTGATGCTCCGTTTGCTAATCTGTGAACCGGGCAGACACCTACCTCGCAGGATTTCCCTGTTCCATTGGACTGAATGCTTGGGTTGCCCCAGAGTTTCCTGTATCAGGCAGAAGAAGTTGCATCAGCCTGGGCCCCCATAGGGCTAGGTGTACTGTAGGTGCGCCGTACATGCTCACAGGTGCTTGGGGGGTGTCTCCCTGTGTGGCTGCAGGTACTGCGTCCAGTTCCGGCTGGGGCCCATTCCAGGGAGCTGCCGGCAGGCCAGGGCACCCCATGCCCAGTGGATGAAGTATCTGACCCAGGGCCACACGGCGTGTGTGAGGTGTGAGTGGCCTGCCCAGGATGCCAGGAGCCCACGTTGCCACGGGGACGGCGGCGGGGCCGGAGGGTGAGCAGTGGGATGGGGGCGTGGGGAGTGTGACTTGCAGAGACGGGGTCGTCTCTGCTGCTCGGGAGATGACGGTGCCGCAGGAGTGAGATGCTGCTCCCTTGGTCAGGGCAGGGCCCGGGAAGGTCCTGGTCTCGGTGTCCAAGGAGAAGCAGCCCTTGCCACTTCTTCCAGCCGTGTGACCCAGGGCAAATCTCATCGCCCCAATTTCCTCATCTGAAAATGCAGCTAAGAAGAGGAACTCCCCATGGGGCAACGGTGAAGGGCAAGCCAGACTGTGCAGGCCGAGCACTTAGCATAGCTCGAGAGAAGGGAGTTGGTCTTGTTGTTGAATCCTCCAAATTCCCCGAAAAACCACGTTGGGTTATCTCATCTCAGAGTTGCGGAAAGCAAGGCTCAGAGGGGCAGGGTGCTTCACTCAAGGTCACGCAGCAGGATTTGACCTAGATATGGCTTATAACAGCCCCCTAGACCGCCTCCCCCAAGGGCAGGTGTGTCAGAAAGCACTTAGCATGTAATTAAAGCACTTAGCACACAGCAGCTAACGTGTATTGAGTGCTCACTATGTGCTGAGCCTTATTCTAAGCTCTTTATATGCATCCATCCATGCACTCATTCACTCGATAAATATTGGTTGAACACTTACCGTGGAGCATGGGCCAGGCAGTGTTTCGGGCACGGGGAGATGCAGCGCACAAAGCAGATGTGGTCCCTTCTCTGAGGGAGACAACATTCTGCCGTCAGGAGAGGGACATGAGGCGAGTGCCTTTGTAATTTGTCAGATGAGACATAAATTATGTTGGAGAAAGAAAGCAGAACGAGGGGGACGTTCTGGCGGTTGTCCTTTTTTAAGGAAGGTGACTCTGAGGAGGTAGTATTGACGAGATCTGAAGGCAATGAGGGAGGAGCCATGTGTGGATATCTGGGGGAAGGTGTTCCAGGCAGAGCAAACAGCAAGTGCAAAGGTCCTGGGGTGGGAGAAGGACGCCATTGTGGCCAGAGTGGCGTGAACGGTGGGGAGCGTGGGAGGAGGTAAGGACTCATGAACACCGAGTATGCCACTGAAACATTCCAAGAACCTGATATGGATACTCTTAGGATCTTCCCTTTGAGATGAGGAGACTAAGAGGCAAAGAAGTGTCCAAGATCATACACCTGGCAAGTGGCAGAGGTGGGGTTTGAACCTGTGCTCTTCAGATTCCTGAGCTAAACTCTAAACACCAGTCTAGACTGTTTCCACTGACGGCGCTTCCCCAGAGCAGAGATCGTTGCCCTGTGGGAGTGAGAGCGCTCTCTGGGCTCTCTCTGTCGGGCAGTTCTCCTCCCAGTTTAGGGAATGCTCATTTCTTCCCCTTTAATTCTGAGCACGCTGCTCACTGCACACCTCGAGCAGGGAGTGCCAGTGACAGAAGGCTGCCGCCGACAGCTGTACGTGGGCAGGGGGCATTGGGACTGCACAGAGCCAGGTTCGAACCCCACCTCTGACCCTTACTAGCTATGTGACTCTGGGCCAGCCCTCCACCTGACCTTGACCATCCCCACCACTTGAGTTGTGGGAAGGATCCCATGCCCTTTGTACAGCTCCTGGCCCCTCATAGATGCTTAGTAGTGGAAGCTGATATTGTCATGTCTAACAAAAAATGGATATAATAATACGTACTTTGTGAAAATGAGACATAATGGATCTGAAGAATTTGGCACATAGTAGGTGCCCAATCAATAAATGGCAAACAATATTATCACACTCTAAAGAGGCTCTCTCTGCCTGCCCCTGTTCAATCTCTCTCCCACTTAGACCTGAGATTCTACCATTAGAGATTCATTCTTAGGGCTAGATGCTCTCTTAGAGCCTTGGTTTAGCCACCTCTCTTTGCATAAGCTTTTCTGGCCCTAAAACTCCTGATTAACCCCAAATTTCTCCTTTTGGATGCAAATATTTCAACATAAGGGACATGGCACTGTGGCGAGGCCGAGATGAGGGCGGCAGGAACCCCTGACTCCACCAGGGAGGGGCAAGAACAGAAAGCAAAGCCATGGCTGTGCCGGGGGGGCCGGCCCTCCCTGCTCCCACCATGCCCAGGAGCACGACAGGTGATGGGAGGTCTGACTGGGGCATGAGCTCACCAGGCAGGGCTGGCAGAGGCGGAGGATCAGAGTGCGGACAGAGACGAGCCGTCAGCTGGATTCTTTCCGAGGGCAGCTGAGGGCGGGTGTGCACAGGGCACAGGCCCAGGAGGGATTAGCATGTCATTTGGGGACTTTAAAGGGTTTATTTAGCCTTAGAAGGGTCTCTGAGTCTGGGATAAGCAGGAGGCGCACCTGCCATAGTCACGCACCTACGGTGTGCTGGGTGCCAGGTAGGGGCTGTACTTCCGTCAGGCTTCCCAAGCCCCTTGGAGGCAAGGGACCTCAGCTTCATTCTACATGATGAGGATGGCAACAGTGACTGTGACTTTAAATGCTGTCATTTGTGAAGCCCCTGTTGTGTGCCAGGCCCTACAGGCTCGGAAGCTTAGAATGGTGCCCAGCACTGAACAAGTGCTCATTAGTATGCGTTGTTATTGTCACGATGTTGCCTTTTTCAGAGGTTTAAATTATACCTACAGAGAATTGGCTAAGACTTATATGAACAGGTTAACACATGTTTGGAAAGCAGGCACACCTGGGTCGTGACCTCCCAGTCCCCCGGCCCCTCCTAACCACGCAGCCTCTCCTCTCCCCACAAAGCCGACCACGGCCATTCCTACCCATCCCTTGTACAGTTCTCTTAGTAGCTTCACTTGGTGCAGCTCCCTAAACACCATAGTTTAATTTTGCTCTTTTCCCCCAAACTTTACATACACGGAATGAAGCAGGGTGTGTGCCTATTGGAATTGGTGGCTTTTGCTCGCTCTGAGGTTGGTGAGGTTTGTACCCACCCCCCACCCCTCACCCCCCGCAGCTGACTGTGGTTAGTTGTTACGTTGTGATTGTTTTTATTTTCTCTGCACACAGCCTCCTACAGAACCTCCCGGCGCTCCAGAGGGGCGGAGACATCTCCGTTTTCCACTGAAGGGACCGCAGAGGCTCCTAGGAGCTGGGTCCTGACCTGCCTTGACTCCAGAACCTTCGTTCTCAGGGACTCCCCTGCGTTGCCTCCCCACAGGAGGAAAAGGGGCGCAGGGAGGTTAAGCAACTTTGCTGGCTGGCTACCTCACCAGACCCTAGGAGCTGAGCCTGGATTGGCCCGTGGGGCCCCAGGGGTTGGCGCTGTGACCGACTCAGGGCCGTGCTCCACCAGGCGCTGTAGACACAGGGCCCAGTGCCCACCCACTCTCAGGGCCCGTGAAAATGTAAAACGTTGAAATTTTAAAATCAGAGCCCTGGCTGGCGTAGCTCAGTGGATTGGGCGTGGGCTGCGAACAAAAGTGTCTCAGGTTCGATTACCAGTCAGGGCACAGGCCTGGGTTGCAGGCCAGAACCCCCAGCAACCGCACATTGATGTTTCTCTCTCTTTCTTTCTCCCTCCCTTCCCTCTCTAAAAATAAATAAATCTTTAAAAAAATTTTTTTTAAATCAGAAGGAAAAAGCTATAATAGTCATGATAATCATAAACCCAGCTTGGGTTATATCCGTCTTTATACAATGCTGTCCTCAACTGTGACTTAAATATTTTTTGCCTGAAGGAAGCCACATAGACACACGTCCCTGGATTCTGGAGATTCCTAATGCCACCGAGCCAACCCCTCTCTTGCAGGAACCAGCTGTTGCTGTGGCAAGCGGCCGGCCACCCCCGGTGCCGAGGGACCTGGGAGAGGCTCGGGCGGCTCCCGCACTGCTCCTGCCCGGAGGTCCACAGCTTCGTGTTCATCTAGTGCCGCAGCCCCTAGCTGTCCGGACCCCTTCATTCTTTCTTTCTTTTTCTAAGTATATTTCATTGATTATGCCATTACAGTTGTCCCGTTTTTTTCTCTCTTTTACCCCCCTCTGCCCTGAACCCCACCTCCCATGAGCATTCCCCCACCTTAGTTCATGTCCATGGGTCGTACATATAAGTTCTTTGGCTTCTCCATTTCCTATACTATTCTTAACCTCCCCCTGTCTATTTTGTGCCTACTATTTATGCTTCTTCTTCCCTGTACCTTTTCCGCTGTTCTTCCCCCTCCACCTTCTCTGCTGATAACCCTCATGTGATCTCCATTTCTGTGATTCTGTTCCTGTCCTAGCTGCTTGCTTAGTTGGTTTTTGTTTTTGTTTTAGGTCCAGTTGTTGACAGTTGTGGGTTTGTTGTCATTTTACTGTCCATATTTTTGATCATCTTTTTCTTAGATGAATACCTTTAACATTTCATATAATAAGAGCTTGGTGATGATGAACTTCTTCAACTTGACCTTATCTGGGAAGCACTTTATCTGCCCTTCCACTCTAAATGAAAGCTTTGCTGGATAGAGCAATCTTGGATGGAGGTCCTTGCCTTTCATGACTTGGAATACTTCTTTCCAGCCCCCTTCTTGCCTGCAAGGTTTCTTTTGAGGAATCTGCTGATAGTCTTATGGAAATTCCTTTGTAGGTAACTGTCTCCTTTTCTCTTGCTGCTTTTGATTCTCTCCTTATCTTTCATCTTGGGTAATGTACTTATGATGTGCCTTGGTTTGTGCTTCCTTGGACCCAACTTCTTTGAGACTCTCTGAGCTTCCTGGACTTCCTGGAAGTCTATTTCCTCTGCCAGATTGGGGAAGTTCTCCTTCATTAATTTTTCAAAGAAGTTTTCAATTTCTTGCTCTTCCTCTTCTCCTTCTGGCACCCCTATGATTCAGATGTTGGAACATTTAAATTCGTCCTGGAGGTGCCTAAGCCTCTCCTTATTTTTTGTGAATTCTTGTTTCTTCATTCTGTTCTGGTTGAATGTTTATTTCTTCCTTCTGCTCCAAACCATTGATTTGAATCCCAGTTTCCTTCCTGTCACTGTTGGTTCCCTGCACATTTTCCTTTATTTCACTTTGCATAGACTTCACTTCTTCCTCTATTTTGCGACCATACTCAACCAATTCTGTGAGCATCCTTATTACTAGTGTTTTGAACTCTGCACCTGATAGGTTGGCTATCTCTTCATTGCTTAGTCATATTTTTTTCTGGAGCTTTGATATGTTCTTTTATTTGGGCCATACTTTTTTGTCTTGGTGTACCTATTATGTTGTAAGGGGCGGAGCCTTAGGTATTCCCCAGGATAGGGCAACCCATGTCACTGTGTTGTGGCGCCATATGTGGGGGAGGGGTCTGAGAGGAAGCAATGCCGCTTGCTCTGCTCTTGGCTAACTGTCAGTCACTTCCCCTGCTTCCCACAAGCAAACTGGGCCCTTCTAGTTCTGATTCCAGGATGGGTGGGCTTGTATATATTCTAGGACCCTGTGGGTCTCTCCCATGAACTCTCCTGTGAGGCTGGGAGTTTCTCCCACCACCACAACCCCTGCAGGATTTTTCAGTCAGGGGTTTGGAGGCGTTATTTCATGGCACTGGAACCCTGGGTTGCACGGTCTGTGTCACTCCCCAGTTGTTTCTTCTGGTTTATCCACATGCAAATGTGGGGTCGCCTGGTCTGCCAGCCGCCTCCTCGCCCACCCTTAGACCGCTTCTTTCCAAAGCCTCCCTAGCTGGTGGGGAAACCCCTACCTGACTAGGGCTTGGGATCCTGGAGGACCAAGGAGTGAGCAGAAGTCTGCAGTTCCGATACCGAAGGAACAAGCCTCGTCCGTAAGTTGGCACCGAAAACAGCTGTATGTGTGTCCACACGGTGCGGCTGAGCCATAGCCTCACTGACGTGTCCCCGTGGCTCAGAGCTTCCTGAACGTCCTCTGCTACACGAACTCTCGTGGCTTCGCCCCATCCTCCCTACCCGAGCACTTCCTTATTATGGACTCTCCCCTCCTCCCCCGCCTTTTGTACTGAAATAAACTTACTTCAAAAGACAGCTTAAACGTAAATGCACGTGTTTAAAGAGGAAACGTTTTCTCAAACTAGAAACGAAAACAAATAATAGTAGCCAACATTTATTATGTACCTACAGTGTGCCAAGCACGGCTCCAGCTCTTTACTCATATTGACTCATTGGATGCAATTATATAGTTACATGCAATTATAGCCCCATTTTACATGTGAGGCAATGGAGGCACAGAGAGGTTGAGCCACTTGCCTGAGACCACACAGCTAGCAAATGGTGCAGCAGGGATTTGAAACCCATGAGCTACGTCTGCTAAGATTCCCTGTCCTGGCAGTACGTCAGCACCGTGAGGGCAGGGTTTTGGCCTGTCTGATTCCCTGCTCTGTGCCCTGTGCCTAGAGTAGTTCCTGGTACGCAATAATGCTCAGTAGATGTTTGTTTAATGGGAGAATGAGTGATCAGTTGCCGTAATTAGAAGACAATCAGGAAAGTGAATACAATGGGAACCAAACAAGTGTGGCTGGGTATGGTTGCCTGTCCGAGGAGCTGAGTGTGAAGACTACTCTCTTCGTATTGGAACAAGAAATGTGCACGTGTGTGAGAAGTAGTAAGGACACGCTGATAGCTAATGGAAGCCTGGGTCCCTGAGAAATCAGAAGAGTCACAAGATTTGAAAGATGGCTCGTTTTCCCCCCTTGGGAGCCAGCCGTTATTAATGTATTTTTAACAGTTTTATTGAGATCCCATTTACATATCACACCATTCACTCACGTAAAGGGGACCATTCAGTCCTTTTGGGTATAGTCAGAAGACTTTATAAACATCACGAAGGTCAAGTTTTAGAACTTTTATCCCCCCACTAAAATAAACCTCACACCCATTAACAGTTACTCCCCACTGGTCACACCTCTCCAGCCCTAGGCAACCACTAATCCACTTTCTGTTACTATGGATTTGTCTATTCTGGACATTTCATATAAATGGAATCCTGCAAATGGTCTTCTATGTCTCGTTTTTTTCACTGAGCATAATGCGTCCAAGGTCCATCCATCTGGTAGTCGGTTATTTGATGTCCCATCTGGGTTGCTGTGAAGCCACCTCAGATCGAGTCCCCCACTGGGGGAAGCACCCCTGTGATGGATACAGAGCTTTCGGGGAGCCGTGACTCACGCCCGTGCCTTGCTAGGCATGTGCCGGCTCCGTTTCCCCTGCCTTTGGACCCAGGAGCCCGGAGAGTGGAGTTGGGGGAAAGGCTGTGTCTTTCACCTGTCCCTGGGGCTGAGCAGGAACTGCCCCAAATGTTGCCGCTGCTCAATCCTCCTTCCTAACTCAGGACTGGGGGCACTGCTGGGAATCGCTGTCCCTTGCCCCTCTCAGAGGATGAGTCACTGGGTCAGCTTTTCAGCAGCACCTGTGCATACTGGTCTGGGCGAGGTGCTGGGGCGGGAAGCGGGGACAGGTGTGCGTCGGCCAGGAGGCCAGTGAGAGGGCTGCCCCGCTCACGTCCAGGCCAGGCTCCCTGGAAGCCAGCTCCCCCTGCGTCTGCACCTACACTTGCTCTGGCCATAGGAGGCTGTTTTATGTGTCTGTGTGGGGTCTTCCCAAGCAGACTGTAAGTGTTTGAATTGCCCAGGCTCTGCAGTGTATACTTTCTGGAGTCCCTCATAGCTACCATTTTTCACCCCTAGGTAGTAATGCCTGGTTTAATACCCTCAATGATCCTGTAAGGTAGGGGATCTTTCCCCCATTAACAGGCAAGGAAACTGAGGCTCAGGAAAGTCCAGTGATTTGCATGAGCTGTCATGATTAGGAAATGCCGGAGCTGGGATTCGAACTGGATTCCAAAGATTGGGCTCTTGACTGAACAGGCAGACAAAGGCTGTGGCGGGAACAGTTACGGGTGTGCAGAAGGCACAGCCGTTTCTAGGGAACCATGAAACGTGACATCTGCCTGGGGTGCTCCCACCGGAGTGTGCTGCTGGAGCTTGTGCAGAGTCCGTGAATCTACGGCAGTGCGGGGAGCCACCTCCATCCAGCAAAAGCTTTAAGATCAGCAACATTGTGAGGATGGAGGTGGGGAGCATGCCGTGGGGTGCCCCTAGAACCTGACCCCACATCCTCGGACCCCAAGCCAGGACTCTCTAAGGGATGAGGGACAGAAACTTAACCAACTTTAGCAAAAACGGAAAAAATTTGACTCATGTAGGTAAAATATCCAGGATAGCACTACCTTCAGGCACAGCTGAACACAAGGGTTTAAAGGGGTTTAAAGGTTGAAGTTCGCCCTGGCTGGCGTAGCTCAGTGGATTCAGCGCGGGCTGCGAACCAAAGCATCGCAGGTTCGATTCCCAGTCAGGGCACATGCCTGGGTTGCAGGCCATGGCCCCTAGCAACCACACACTGATGTTTCTCTCTCTCTCTCTTTCTCCCTCCCTTCCCTCTCTAAAAAGAAATAAATAAAATCTTAAAAAAATATAAAGGTTGAAGCTGCCGGGTCACTTTCTTGGGGCCCTGCCCTCCTCTGCATTGGCTCCACTTTTAGGCAGGCATCTCGTGGTGGCAGAGATGGCCACCGGGAGCTCTAGGCTTCCTTCCTGCCAGTTCAGCATGGCCAGGAGGAAGACAGCTTCTCATTTGGTGGAGGACCTGAGCCTCCACTAAAGTCCTGGGGTTGCTGCTAATCGATGTGGTGCATCTCGCATGCTCATCCCTGAACCAATCCGGCACCGGGCAATGGACTGTTCTGATTGCCTGGGGAGGGGCTAGGTGCTTATCCCTGGAGGCAGGGGAGGGGTCAGTTCTACTTGAACCCCATGAACTGAGAGTGGGGAGAAGCTAGTTCCCCAAGGAAAACTCTGGGTGCTGGTATCAGAAACAGCAGCCAAGGGGGCTGGGAAGGTCCCAGACAGCAAATATCCTCCTCACGGGAGGTGGGGGAGCTACCTTCAAGCTATTTGGTTTTGCCACCAACTTGCTGCTTGATTGTGAGCAAGTCCCTTCCCCTCTCTGCGCCCCAGTTACCCCATCTGTACAGCGATGATCTCCATGAACTCGTCTAGCTCTGAACGTC